CTCTCCCTTGGAAGCTGAGCCTGACTTCCTTTTTCCACCAAGCTAAATAATTGTCCCACCTCTCTTTTTGTGACATCTTCTGCTTGCTACTAATCATTGCCCCCATTACGCTACGCTTCCCCCAGCATACACCCAGTGGTGAGCCGACACTTCACCTGTGCAACCCCCAGCCTGCTCTAGTACCTGGCACATTAGAGTGTAGGCTCCCAGTAATGGCAGCAAATGACTGTTAATGTATTGAACGATTTTATGTCTTATAGATATCCCACTTATATTCATTTCGTCTAACAAATACTTACATAGCAGTTTACTATGTGCCAGGCTCTGTTCAAAATAGCTACTCCTACCCCATTTTACAGAGAAAACAATTCTGGAGCATATACACTTCAACCTACCTATGTTTGACCAGTTGAAAAACAGAGGTGGGTTTCACACCCAGGGAGCCTGGCTCCAGAGACAGTGCTCTCAGCCATTACATCAAGCTGCCCGGTAGCATTTAGCTACCTGGCTTCTTCCTCCATGGTGTTACTAAGTAAATGTTAGGTTTGTCCTCAGTGATTGATGCTACATGTTGCCACTTTTGGCCTAAATGCAGGCCTTCCATTTTCACTCTGTTTGCCTACAAGCTCTGACACACGGCTGACCACTTGGAAAACAGATAAAATTGTTGCATTATGAAGATTATCCTCAGGCTGTCTGTCTTATAACCCTGTGCGTTTGGTTCTGACCACAGCTACATCATGCTGATGACAGCTTCCTGGTCCTCACTACAGATGGCATTAACTTCATGGTAAACAGCCAAGAGATCTGTGACTTCGTCAATCAGTGCCACGATCCCAGTGAAGCCGCCCATGCAGTTACTGAACAGGTGACACAGCAGAGCTTCCGCTAGAGAAGTCCCAGGGCGGGGAGGAGAGCACAAAGCCAGGTGCAGGTTTCGCTGCAGCCTGGAGGGGCCACCACTGACTGCAGATTTCTTTGAGATCTTGTGTTTTAGCTTTAGTATTACATGGAATTTTACACTTGACTCCATAATATTTCCAATTAAAAATGTTTTTCCAATTCTTCCAAGTAGTTAAGTAAAATCAATATGCCAAGGAAATGAGCTATGTTTCTTTTTTGGCTTTGTACACATCTTGAAATGACAGTAACAGCATTGGTAAATTATAACATTAGCAAATACTCATGTCACCGTGTGTCAGGCACTTTTCTATTCATATGTATTTAACTCATGTAATCATCATGATAACCCTCTGAGGCTGGAGGTAGGATTATCCCTTCTTCACAGAGGAAGAGAGCGGAGGCACAGAGGCTGAGACATTAAGTAACTTATTCAAGATGGCAAGATTGTCACATTGCAGAACTGGTCTTCAAACCCAGACAGCCGGGCTCCTGAATCCAGCCACTGGACCCTTTTAAACTAGACTGCTCCACATGAATATCCAGTGTAGAAACACTATAGCACAGTCAATTTCTGGTTTTGAAAGATGGGTGTGTAAAAACAAACAAATACAAAAAGCTATATGGGTGAGTGGTATGTTGGTGTGCCAGTCAGAGCTAAAATTTGGAAGCTGGATAATATCCAGTAAAACAAAATGTAAAATTTCCATATGTTAATACTCTGTTTGGATAGATAGCTGTCTTTTTTTTTTTTTTTTTTTACTTTATTTATTTTATTTATTTATTTTTGGCTGCATTGGGTCTTCATTGCTGCATGCAGGCTTTCTCCAGTTGCGGCGAGCAGGGTCTACTCTTTGCTGCAGTGCGCAGGCTTCTCATTGCGGTGGCTTCTCTTTGTTGCAGAGCATGGGTTCTAGGCGTGCGGGCGTCAGTAGTTGTGGCTCACGGGCTCTATAGAGCAGGCTCAGTAGTTGTGGCTCGTGGGCTCACTATTTGTGGCTCACGGGCTCTAGAGGGCAGGCTCAGTAGTTGTGGTGCACGGGCTTAGTTGCTCCATGGCATATGGGATCTTCCCGGACCAGGGCTCGAACCCGTGTTCCCTGCATTGGCAGGTGGATTCCCAACCACTGCGCCACCAGGGAAGCCCCTATATCATATATTTTTTATCAATCTTTTTCTTCAGAGTTTTGACCTCAGGCTCTGAGGTATTTTCTTTTTTTTTTTAATAAATAAATTTATTCATTTTTGGCTGCGTTGGGTCTTCGTTGCTGTGCGAGCAGGGACTACTTTCCGTTGTGGTGCGCAGGCTTCTCTTGTTGAGGAGCATGGGCTCTAGGCACGCGGGCTTCAGTAGTGTGGCTCGTGGGCTCTAGAGCGCAGGCTCAGTAGTTGTGGCTCGCGGGCTCAAGCGCAGGCTCAATAGTTGTGGCACATGGGCTTAGTTGCTCCACGGCATGTGGGATCTTCCCGGACCAGGGATCGAACCCAGGAAGTCCCAGGCTCTGAGGTCTTTTGAAGTACATTTGCTGTAATCCCAAGCATTTATTAATGCTGACTATATAATTTGCTATTTGCATTAGTTCCTAAAATTGATTTATAATTCCACTGTAGGAAGTTTAGTTTATGCCAGTTTTCTATTTTGTATAGACTGTAATAAACTTTCTTACAGTTTTATATCTTTATACACATCCACTTCCTTAGGTTATTATTTCTTTAAGCTAAATTCCTAGGAGAAGAATTGCTAGGTAAGAGCTAACACTGAATCCTTAACCCTGCATTATTCCCTATGCTAAATGCTTTACGTGTGTTTTCTTCTTCAGGAGCTACGTATCTTGTACCTTAGTCCACTGGTGTATTTATTGCCAAAACCGCTACAGTGGCATATACTTAATATAGTTGTTTGGGACATCAGTTATCCTATATGCAATTGATACAAACCACTGTGAAATAACTGCGTTAGTAACTGTGTTTTAAGCCAGTTTGGCCTTCCAGAGAAAGGCCATTTCTTTTTGTACAGACTCTGATTTCCATTGTTCATCTCTTCCTTCCTGCCGTAACTTGCAGGCAATACAGTATGGTACTGAAGACAACACTACTGCAGTAGTAGTGCCTTTTGGTGCTTGGGGAAAATACAAGACCTCTGAAATCAACTTCTCGTTCAGCAGAAGCTTTGCCTCCAGTGGAAGATGGGCCTGATCACCTGCTGGGACTTGGAGTTTCTGTGCAGTTTTTCACTGATTGTGTCAAGAAACTGATAAGATTTTAAAAAGCTGACTGTACCAAGGTGACCCTAGGACTCACTAGATCAGTACACACATCACTATAAACTTAGTAACCATCTACATAGTAGTTTTTCACAAATACCTGTCATATTTATGTTCAACTAACTGTACATACTCAGTATAAATACGTGTAATTCAGCTATTGTGAATGAGTCCCTGAGTGAGCAAATGAAAAATGGTTTTGATACACTTGCTGAGTGTTAAATTTCTCTATGAATTTCTTTTGACCATTTCTGATCTTTATTCATTTGACCAGGTTCTTGCCTTCAAGTTCTTCAAAACTAGTCAGTAGTTTGACAGCTACTCAATGGTTATCTGCAAGTGTTTCTTTTTAATAACTGTACCAAGCATTAAGGATGAAAACTGAGTTCTCTGTTACTGTATTTTGTACTCTGGATCACCTACTGGTGAACGTAACAATGCAAAAGAAATTAATTCAGCTGACATGACACTGCTAGGCTGTATACATATGTACAACAGTGCACTTACGTATTTCCACTGTGTCACCAGGTCTCTCCTGCCACCAGTCAATTCATTCCTGTTTTTCTGTAGGTAAGAATGCTGTATAGCTATGACTATTCCTTCATATCAGAAAAGAATGTCCAGGCTAAGAGTTCTTTGGTCAAAGCTATACAGAGTTATATACTGACAGTATCAAGTATTTTGTATAACGTTTCCATTTGTTATTCGAATTCTATGTTTTGTGTTTTGTATACGGAATGTTTATATTATCGCTTTTTGTATAGAGTAAGCAAGTCGGATAATTTGTCAGTAAAAATAATCCCACATTGACTGATAACTGCTACAGACATAGCTTGAGGTTTATGTCTCCTTTTTCTAAGACTCCTAAGAAAGACTAAATCTAAAAAAAAAAGCCTTATCTATTCCAGCTTGCTATGTAATTTAGGAGTATAAAACTATATTTCCTTATATCTGTGTGTAAGTTTGCTGTTAAAATGTGAATCTCTAAATGTGTGTATGGAATTACATCTGCAGTTTATTTCTGCAGACAGTGTAAATTTGTTGTATGTGTAGGTGTATGTACATATGTATATTTTAGACTAATGGAAAATGAAAGGGAACAATCCTGCATAGCTCCTTCACCAGTCAGCTTTCAATTATTGATATGTTTATCTCTAAGAACACTTGACAAACTGAGGAAAGTTTCAGAGAGGAGAACCAATGGTTACTGGGAGATAAGGAAATAGATTAAAAATGGCTGTAGGAGATATTCTGTGGTGGGTAACTTCTGTGGAAAAACCTAGGAACAGAACAGCATTTGAAGCTACATTGCTATATTGTAATTTGCATATAAAATAATAGGATGTGAGAAAAATACTGAAGTGTTAAGAATGACGTGGAGTTCTGTGGAAACAAAAGAAAAACCAAAACGATAAAGTTGATGTACCTTCAACTCTTAGTTTTCAGGTTGACTTTTCTTTAAGTTTTACTCAAGGCTTATTAGAAGGAAGGGGGCACAACATCGATATTCACATCTCACCTTTTTGGGAATGGAAGGAAAGAAATCTTGAGTTTTCCTGCCTGTATTCATCAGGAATTATCCTTTGGGAAAAAGTGGTATGGAAATATTTCAAGGTGTTTTTTTTTTTTCAAGGAAGTTTGGTAAAAGAAAGAGAAACGTTACAAGAAAGGATATGGTCTCCTATTCATTGCCTGGGAAGTGAGGAACCAAAGGTAGGCCTGGAAAACTTTCTCCCTCTTCCTGAGTAGGGTCTTGGGACATAAACTTGGAAGCTACATTTAGGAGTATGGAGAGTTTCCAAACTAACAAGCAAACAGAAACTCTAAAGCACAAGATGACCTGCTCGAAATGTAGGTTTTATTTTTGTTTTGAATTCTTCACATTGCTATTCCTCTCTTTTCCTTTAAAAAACCAGCGTGGGAGTGATGTCGTTGACTTCAGAGGTTTAAGAGCCACTGATGCGTTGGGTGGATTGCCATCTGTGACAAAGAAGAATTTGTAGGACATGTAGGCCTTGGTCTGGAGTGGATTTTGCTCTGCTCAACCTGAAAGTTTTTAAAACCTGAATCTAGTCAGCTTTGACTAAAGCATGAAAACACACTAGTGTCTGTTTTTCAAGCCACGACGTTGAAGTATAACTTATAGATTATTATAATCCATAGAAGATAAGCATACGTGTATTAGGCTTTTAAGTCTATTACTGGGAATTATGCAAATAGTAATGGAACAGAAGGGCTGTTCTAAATAGTTTTTTGGCTATAACTGTGATTTTGCCATGTGGCTATTACCATGTGGGTACAGGTATGGTGTAAATTATATTAATGTAATTAAACTTAAATCAATTGTATTTATGTTTGCCTTTCATTTATATGTAGTATATAAATCATCTTTCTAAAATAAGTTGCCTAACTTTATTTGCCATCATTGATTTGGCAAAGTATTCTTAAAATCATTGTGATTTTTCACAAGTATAAATTCTTAGGTACCTTATATATTCAAGTGTAAATGCAGTCCTGCTTTCCATCAACCATTTATTTGTTACAGACCCTTGTGTTAAGTGCATCAAAGTTGTATGCACTTTTCTTAAAAAAAAAAATAAATAAAGTTTTGGCAGGATCACTTTTGAATTTCAGTACTCTATGATGGGAAATTACTTACTTGGAAGAATTCTTAGCATGTCATTTAAATAGAAATTATTTTTTCTAAGTGGAACTGAATTTTTTTTTAAACAAATCTTGGGAGAGAATGAGTAGGCCTCTGCTAACTCTTCAGTATCAGACAGGACGTTTAGTTTTCTTTCTAAGAACGGACAAGGATTTAATTTCACAGTAATATTATAATAAGAAAATGCTTCAAGGTGCAGTGGGGGAAGGGATGGTTAAAGTTTAGCATTGAACCCTTAAACACAAACATATATTTGTATTCTCCTTTAGCACTTCAGTTCACATACCTGCGTCTGTGCAAAGTGACATAAAATTCTGGTTGGGTTACGTTTTACTGCATTTATTATATTCACTTATCTGGATGACTTCAGCAGAAATAAAAAGTCATGTCTTTAGAAGCCAAACTGTGATGACCTGCCTGTTGCTTTTGGCATCTGGAATGAGACTGCTTGACTCTCTGGCAGCTCCCCTTGGTTGTTGGATGGTTGAAACGGTCCACTGATGGTCATACTGCGCATTCGAGGCTGTGAAGTCGTGGGGTTGTTCCATCTCCAAGAACGACTCCTCTTCCACTGGATTCCTGTACAGAATTGAGCGGTTTGCTGTCTCCCAAATTAGTTTCTGCTAAAGTGCTCTTGTGTACATTTGTTTTATAATTTACCAAAGTACTAATTGGGTGTATAGCACTTCTGTAGTGGGCTGATGTAATTGCTGCTTTGACCGTTGTTTTAAAAGTATGTATTAGAGTAACTGTAAGCATACTAAAATCATATCTCAGTGTTCAAAGCAACATTTAAATAAAGTATGTGCATTAAACACTTTAAAATCAAGTTGTGTTTATTTGGCATCCAGACTTTCCAATATTTATTATGGGACCCTGTGAACACTGATGTAAAGGAGTCAGTGAATGTTTGGAAATTTTTTAGCAGCCAAATCCTGGCTGTTTGCAAAATTAATGTGAAGGATCTTTGAAAACATTATATACACACTTATCTATTCAAATCTTTTCGATTGGATTGAAAACAAGATTTATCTCTCATTTTCCTCTTCCAAAATATTTGTTGGTACATAAGAAGAAAATGGTTGTGATTTCTACAATATGTTGCCTGTGGTATATTTTACTGCAGCATTTCCATGTATTAAAAATTAGAAACAAGTGTTCAGTGGGAACTCAGCAATATGCATTTAATGTAAGCAATTTTTAATGTCCTGCCATTGATTGAACAAAATGTCATAGTTGCAATCTTTCGGCACAAGGATCTCTTCTAGAGTATCCCCTGAAGGTAACTTGGTAAACTCCATGGTGGCAGAGATCTATTTCATTTTGTTCAGACTCCTGACCTAGCACTTTTTATAAGTTCAGCAATGAGGATAAAATGTTTGCTAAATCAGTGAGTCAATGCATTCATTGAATTACATTTTTATTAATTTTATGTTAGTGGGGAAATGGGCATTAGATATTTTAAATAATAAGCCAAACATAGTATTTAATCGTGAAGGAATAGTATTTAACCTCTTTTGGTGTTTCCTTAAGACAATGATCAGTTATGCCTTGTAAAGTGTAAGTTAGTATAAATATGGTTCAGAATCTTGTTCTGAACAAAACCTAAAGAGCAGTGCTGCATGGATGACTATAATCTTGTTTCTTTAAAAGGTGGAGAAAGGGATATGAATATTAAGGGTCTTTTATGTGCTATGCTCTTTTGCATATATTATCTCATTTAATCTTAACAACCATACAGGGAAGTCTTTCTAATTATCATTTTTATAGATGAAGAAATAAAGCCCTTAAGTAGCTAATAATAGCAAGGTCCAATCCAGACTCCTTTGACTTCAAAGTCTGTTTCTTCTCTTACCATACCTCCTTTATACACTAGCAAAAGCAAAACCAATTCACTACTATCAAACAGCTATTAACATCCATCTGCAGAAGGCTCTCTGGTGGACATGAAAAAGAGTGACATGGACACGACCCAGAAACTAACTCAGTGGATGAATGAACATAATAGAGGCAGTAACTGAGCATTTGTCACCTAAAACTAGAGTAGAGAACTAAATTATGTTCCAGCGAACAGTATAACTGGGGAACAAGTGAAGAATGAACAGAATAATGCTTTAAACAGTACAGGGTTTAGATGGTCACTTACGGAAGTCCAATAAGTCAGTTTACCAACGGTAAGCATTTTTTGAGAACATACTGCATATGTCTAAATGACACTAGGGTGGGTCTAGCAGGGCTTGGGGCTAGTGGTTGATAATATCCCTAGAACTCTGTCCGGAGACCGACAAGTGAGGAAAGTGAGTTATACCAGAAGGATATCAGTGTTCACCTGGACAGGTGAAGCCAGGATGTTTGGAGCCGAGAGAGATCTAACCAGTGAAGTCACTGAGCCTTTGTTCACATGTCAAGGGTAGGTTCTTTCAAGGGCCAGGAGACTTAACGTCATGTCTTAAGAGGCAGGCGGCCAAAGGCAGGACCGGTAACATATTTCGTGCCAAATGACAATGCCAGGTCCTTATTCAAGACAGCAACTGCAGGGCACTAAACCAAGTAGGGGGCCCCTCTAGCAGCTGGATCCTGTGCAGGTCGTGCACCCATAACCAGAAGGAAAATACTCTGTAAGAGCAAATGCAGCAAAAGAAGGGAGCACATTCATTGCACACCCACGGCCTTTCGCCAGTGCGCGGGCACTCACCGGACAAGATGCACTGTGGTGCTTGGCCCCAGGCGGCGACTACGGCTGCTGCCCGGGATCCCTGGTTTCTGCCCACCGAACCAGGCAAAGCCCGAGCAGCTTGGCGCCCTGACTCCACAGGCAGAGATGAGAAACAGCGGTGGGCGGCGCTCTCCTCGCTCTCGGGAGCGGGAGGGGGGACTGCGCCGAGTCCCTGCATCCCCCGCCCGGCATCCTCGCCCCGCGCCCCTGCATGCCCGCGCCCCGGCTCCACTGGTCTGGCGGCTGCGCCTCGGGAGGGCCTGGCCGAGACCCGGACCTGCGGCGCCTGAAAGCGGGTCCGAACAGCTAGCTGCCCTTCCCGTCCCCCTTTGTCGCTCACTTCCTCCTCCCGTTCCTTCCTTCGTCCCTTGCTTTTCCCCCTGCGGCGGCTGCGCCGGCTGCGCCGGCCGGACAGCGAATCTGCCTCAAATACCGAAGCTGAGCGAACCGCCCGCCGAGCCGCCCGGCGGCCCCGCCTCCTCCCGGCTCTTCCTCAGTGCGCGCCCGGCGGGTCTAGCGGAACTGGCCGCGGCCCCCCGAACTGAACTCACCGGCGATGGGAGGCCGGCCGTTCGGGAAGAGGACGTGACTGTCGGCGGCGAGGAGGCGCTCTTCTGCCCGGGGAAGCGCCTGGAGCGGAGAGCGGGTGAGAGCTGTCCCCGGGCGGTGTCCCCGCAGCCAGGGGGCTACTGTAGTTCCTCAGTCCTGGTGGTCGGTTCTGGGCAGCACAACACAGCGTTTGCTAGGTACTAACTCCGCTTTGCAGGGAAAACTGAAGAGATCGAGGGATTGGTCTGAGGTTCCGTCGGCCTTTCTGTCCAGCCCAAACTCTCATTCCCAGGCACTGCCCTATTCGTAGCTCTTGCTTAAATGTTCGGCCTGGTGGCCATGTGTGTCCCAACTGACACTTCTTGCTGTTTGGGCGACAGGATCCTGAATGGAGCCAATCCTTAGCTCTAGTCAACAACCAGTGAGATTCCTTCAAAAGTCTATAATAAGGGATGGACCGGCTCTCTAGCTGTATAATGGGAGGAGCTAGGTTTGAGAGGACTTGTCAACTGGCAGGGCCATTTCTAGATAATGTGCACACTTTCGACTTTGCAGAGAGGAGCTACTTCCCCAGAGGGGGACGGACGAGTGGAGGGAAGAGCTACCTCCATCCCAGCCGAGTCTCAATTCCAACCCATGGCCAGTTTGAGAGGATTTCTGTACAGGCCCAAACTCCTACAGGTAACAAAATACAAAAAGCAGGTACCAGAGGGTGCTGGCTAGGAATTCAAACCCAGCCCTGTTTCATCCCAAAGTTAATTATTTTCCACTACCAAAGTCAGGTAAGGTTAATAAGTACTTACGTATTAATAATTATGTGGAAAAAAATTCCAGAAGGGACCTGAGAACGCTGCAGCTGTTCATTGGAAACCAGGAGGGATAGAATAATTGGAAAATGTGTCAGGGGAAGAAGGAGAGGACATAGTAAAAGCACATCAAGACTAAGACCAAGGGCTTCCCTGGTGGCGCAGTGGTTGAGAGTCTACCTGCTGATACAGGGGATACGGGTTCGTGCCCCGGTCCGGGAAGATCCCACGTGCCGCGGAGCGGCTGGGCCCGTGAGCCATGGCCGCTGAGCCTGCGCGTCTGGAACCTGTGCTCCACAACAGGAGAGGCCACAACGGTGAGAGGCCGCATACCGCAAAAAAAAAGACCAAGGCAAAAGGTAACCAAACTCTTAGACCACATTCCTGACTACATTTGAGGCTGCTGCTTCCCCATCTCTCATTTACTGCATCCTGCCTTCAACTCTACCACACCAATGAAACATCTGTCTCAGAGGTCCACAGTGACCTCTTACTGGATAAACATAGTGATTCATTTTAGTTTTTATTTTATTTGACATCTCTTCCACATTCAACATGCCTGGCTACTTCCGTCTCATTGAATCAGTCTCCTCTCAAGGCTTTTCTGTCACTGCTTTTCTGTCTAAATATCTAGCAGCTGCTGTGATTGTCTCCTGCCCTTTGATTGTTGGTGTTCCCCAGGTTTACCTTATTAAACCCATTAAACCTGTGTGGAGGGGAAACAACTAATTCAGGTTGCAACTGAAACAATAACCACCTGCCCCCTTCACTGGTGCTTTTCCTAACAACAACCATCATAGCTGGGCAGCAGAAGTGCTTTATGAATAATTGCCGTTTCTTCACACGGAATATTGAAAAACATATACTCTGGGGTCACAATTTAATCAAATCAGGAGTTTTTACTGCTTCATCAAGGACAAAATATCCACCCTCTTCTCATGGTGTACTCTCCTTGTGTGAGCCAATGCATTCTCATGACGTCACCCATCACGTGCATACTGATAACTTCCAACTGTTTTCCCAGCCCAGATTTCTCTCCTGAGTTCCACGCTCAGATGTCCAGATATGGGCCGGAAATGTCTGCTCAGAGGTCCTATAGGCGCCGCAGTTCAACATATGCAAGATGGAATTCCCACCCAAACCAGTCCTTCTAGTCTGCCCATCTTGATGAATGGCAGTGCCTCTCACTCAGACCTTCACATCTGTAATTTTCTCCTCCACTCCATCCTCACCGCCATTTCCTTAGATCCAGCTGATGCTGTGGCTTCCCAACTGATTGCCCTGCCTTCAGGGTCACCCCTTGTCCATTCTCCACTTGGTCATCACACACACTCGTGTTTGCGTTTTTTCAATCTCACCACCCAGATAAAGTAAAAGTCGTTAGCATTGCATAAAAGACCCTACCTATGGGGCTTCCATGGTGGTGCAGTGGTTGAGTGTCCGCCTGCCGATGTAGGGGACAAGGGTTCATGCTCTGGTCCGGGAAGATCCCACATACCGCGGAGCAGCTGGGCCTGTGAGCCGTGGCCGCTGAGCCCGCGCGTCCAGAGCCTGTGCTCCGCAACGGGAGAGGCCACAACAGTGAGAGGCCCGCGTACTGCAAAAAAAAAAAAAGGACCCTTCCCTCCCGGTCTGTTCCCTGCCCAGGCTGCACAGGCTCTGGACGGGCAGGCCCAGCAGCCACGGCTTATGTGCCCAGCCGCTCCGCATGTGGGATCCTCCCGGACGGGGGCACGAACCTGCGTCCCCTATTCCGGCAGGCGGACGCTCAACCACTGCGCCACCAGGGAAGCCCTCTCTGTGGGTTTTTGTTTTGTCCATCCCGTTCTGTGCCTTCTTTCCCCTTTCACTACCTTTCTACTATTTTTTTTTTTTTTTTTTTTTTTTGCGGTACGCGGGCCTCTCACTGCTGTGGCCTCTCCCATCGCGGAGCACAGGCTCCGGACGCGCAGGCTCAGCGGCTATGGCTCACGGGCCCAGCCGCTCCGCGCCACGTGGGATCTTCCCGGACCGGGGCACGAACCCGTGTCACCTGCATCGGCAGGCGGACTCTCAACCACTGCGCCACCAGGGAAGACCCTCTACTACTTTTTTTTAAACTATCTCTCTCCCTGCCTGACTGAATTTCTTCTTAATATTCTCATACTTCTCCCTCACTCACCTAAAAAATGACTGATGGCTATGAACTTTAATAAACTTACAGAATAAGAAACTTAATAATGACTATTAAAGCCCTATTTTCTTTTTCCCAAACTGGTTTCTGATCTCTGCCATGTTTTGGCATACTTTTTTTTATATTTAAAAATCAGTGAAAACATTCATGTTAATTTAGTTCTGATTTTCATCACCTAATATAACTATACCGAAGGGGATCAGGATATGCCCCCCTACCCCCAATATGCCCCTTTGGCATGAGGATTAATTTGAGCTGAAGGCAATTAAGAATCAACGGATTGCAGAAAGAAGCCTTCTCAGCATTTCCCTTATCTAAGAGCAGAAACTTCTGAGAAATGAGGCTGTCATAAGTTCCCTCTTCAGGATGAGCTTACTCCTAGGAGAGAGATCAAAAGTAAATAGGCCGTAAATCTCCTCTCTGGGAGTTTCGTGGCTGTGAAGGAGATGGAAAAGCCCACTTGCATATTCATAAATATTATCACAGGCTTTCTTATCTCCAGTTTATTCTCCTAAAAATCCTTTTCTTTCCTATGGAAACCTACTTGTTTTTTTCATAGATTTTTCTCCATCTCCCTCTTTCCCCTACTAAGTTAGGTAGATAAGCCTCTGTCTTTAACCAGTTAGCTAGCTACTAGCTGCTTCCATGTGAATAAGGCTTTTTTCTCCTGTTGTCTTTTGTCAGTTTAATTCAGAGGTCCCCAAGAGCTCAACCTAAGGGTACAGCAAAAGTTTTTTCCTCCTCAAATACTTCATATGCCATGATCAATATAGACCATATACTTGTTAATTTTTATGATTATGGTATCATATACCACAGTTTGTCACATTCTCCTCTTGTGGGGCACATCGATGTTTCTGATTTTTTAGTCTTTTTAAGTATCTCCTTCCTTTAGGACACTTCCCTTGCGTTCTCTGCTACATAAGATATATACAAACGTACAAATGCATAATTATGGAAATACATAAAATTTGCTGCGTTTGTTGTGTAGATCTTCAGTCTTGCGAAAAAAAGTAAAACTGAGACAGGCTGGGACCCAGGACACTTAGCTGCAGTGCTGCATTCTCGCACCTGGACACACTTCTCATCCAGCAACAAAATACAAAGAAACTCTACAGGACTAAAAATAACTGCGTGCATGCGCAGTTGGGACAGATTCTGGCCCCAAAAGATACAAAGAGACCAAAAAAAACCCAACTGCCACTTCTGAAGAGCTGGGACCAAAAACAGGGTGTTGGGGGCAACAGCACAGTAGTGAGCGTGCCCTGTGCGCTCAGCACCACCAGAGGGGTGGGCAAAACACCGAAGCTACCCCTCTGGCCGGACCCCTGGTCACAGCACTACCCTCACGCCGTTTAAGGAGCCAGCTCGCTCCCCATCAGGGAACAAGCAAGCAAGGGAACCTGTTCCTTGTTCTCACTCCCCCGTGCTGCTACAGGGGCCCCCATAAAGCCTTGCGTCTGGCCTCTAGTCAATTTCTATTGATTGCCGAAGGCCAAGAGCCCTGGTCGGTATCAAAGCCAGGCCTCCTGAGAGTTTCTCTTCTCTATAGAGCTGATCACGGTACCAGTCCTGAACTACTGTACCTAGATTGCTTCAACACTAAACATTTACCAGCAGTTGCACAAACTTGCGAGGCAATAAAGAGGTGAGGTTGGTCTGCCCAGTAAAAAATGGTTGCTTTGGTTTGAGCTTCCCTCTCCTAGAGCTTCTTGTGTAGCCAGTTCAGTACATAACAAGTTCGAAGAGTTCACAAGGAGAGTGTGTCACGATGACTGCTTTTCTGTTGTAGCTTTTGGCTTTTAAAATGCAGAAGCACCGTGGAAGCAGGTTTGGTGTTTCCAAGTTCTGCCAGAAGTGTGATTTTATTTTAAGTAATGTTCATAGCCTCAGTTTATGTTGTCATTTGTTCACAATGATGACTGTAAACCTTGGTTAAATGATTACTGTGTGAACAGTACCATACTATAGGACTACAAAAGCCTAAGATATGGCCCTTAACTCTGAGTAGTTGATAATTGGCAAAGTGAGAAACCCAAACTGTGAGTGCTGAGGGACTTGTACATAACCATTGAGAGTCTTGATAATAAAAGCATGCAACATAGGATTTTTGACTCTTTGTAAACAATTCCTAAGTCTTGAGTTTGCTTCTGAATCTTAAAGAAAATTTGGAGCAACTTTTCCATACCCTGGAACACAGGAATAGATTATCATAAATTTACATGAATGCATTCTAGTGAATTCTGAAGACTCCATCATAAGCCAACACAGGCTGGGAAACAAAACAAAAAGTTTGGGATAATATCAAAGGCCCTTCCATCATTTTCAAATGCTTAGCTAAGGACTGCTCTCTGTGACTGCCTCTCAGAGCACTGAGGAACGGTTAAAGCCGGGGGAAAAACAGGACTGGCAAAATACTTGCCTGGGTATCACCTTCCCAACCTCCCCTCCCTCATAATTTGGATTGGCTTCCTCCCCACGCCATACTACGGATTCTGATAAAAGTCTTCTCTAGCTAAAGGACTTTACTGTTCTTTGAATTAGAGGATGAAGCTGGCTGTTTGAAACCTTTCTCACTTTCCCTATTCCAAAGGCTTCAATATCTGCTCAAACAAGATCAGGAATTCAAGTCCATCTACACCCTTAGGGACATACATATTTTTGAAAGATAAAGGAGGCCTCCAAGAATTAGACATGATTTTTGCTACAACTCTTCACTTGTGCACAGTGCTTCCTTTATAAGAAATAAGGGATCTTCACTGGTTCTTTGCCCTTGGAAAGAAAGAGCTGGGGATTTCACAGAAATCCCTAGGAGTGGTTGATTTATTCCTAGTTGTCTGAAAAATAGGTGTTCCAGGGTGAGATAATATGCACTGTTAGATAGTGTGCCTAAGTCAGTAGAAGGGCTTCCATTTAAAAAGCTTCCTTCCCATAAGTTTTATCTTATTTAAGAGGTTTAAACCAGAGGTTTTCAAAACTTGTTCCACAGAACCCGGGAGGTCCTTAAACATTTTATTCTGACTTTTTGTTTGTGAGATTGTGGATATCTTTGATTTTAAAAATACATGAATATATTCTTGTGAAGATTTGTGAATTGATTAATATATTTTATCAAGTACCTACTGGTATACCAGGCACAATTCTGGGGACTAAGGCTACATCAATGAACAAAGCAAATAAAAATTCATGCCCACATAGAGCGTGATTCTAGTGGAAGGAGAAAAACAAACATAATAAGTAAGGAAATTACATAATATGTTAGAAGGTGATAAGTGCTATTAACAAAAATAACATATGGTAGATCAAGAATGCTAGTACAAGGAACTGCAATTTTTTTTTGAATTCTCATAGTTGACTTTATTTTTTAAACATCTTTATTGGAGTATAATTGCTTTACAATGGTGTGTTAGTTTCTGCTTTATAACAAAGTGAATCAGTTATACATATACATATATCCCCATATCTCCTCCCTCTTGAGGCTCCCTCCCACCCTCCCTGTCCCACCCCTCTAGGTGGTCACAAAGCACCGAGCTGATCTCCCTGTGCTATGCGGCTGCTTCCCTCTAGCTATCTATTTTACATTCGGTAGTGTATATATGTCCATGCCACTCTCTCACTTCGTCCAAACTTACCTTTCCCCTTCCCTGTGTCCTCATTCTCTAGTAGGTCTGCGTCTTTATTCCCATCCTGCCCCTAGGTTCTTCAGAACCTGTTTTTTTTTTAGATTCCATATATATGCGTTAGCATACAGTATTTGTTTTTCTCTTTCTGACTTACTTCACTCTGTATGACAGACTCCAGGTCCATCCACCTCACTACAAATAACTCAATTTTGTTTCTTTTTATGGCTGAGTAGTATTCCATTGTATATCTGTACCACATCTTCTTTACCCATTCATCTGTCGATGGGCATTTAGGTTGCTTCCGTGACCTGGCTATTGTAAATAGTGCTGCAATGAACATTGGGGTGCATGTGTCTTTTTGAATTATGGTTTTCTCAGGGTACATGCCCAGTAGTGGGATTGCTGGGTCATATGGTAGTTCTATTTTTAGTTTTTTAAGGAA